GCAAACTGTTCTAGTACTGAGGATGGGATGGGAATGAGGTCAGGGGCTCACAGCCTCTTGCTTAGGAACTGGATGAAGTGTGTGGGAGTGAAATACAGTGTTGGCTTCAGCACTGGTTAATCCATCCATCATGCCACGAGGTAGGGACCCCGTAAGACAGAAGGAAGGTAAATGCACAGGGAAGGCTTGCTCTTCCTTGCTGCGATGACAGTGGTGGGCAGTTAGTGGTGAGAAAGGACTCAAATCCTGTAGCAGAGAGGGTGTATTTTGTGCTGTGCCTCCAAGGCAGTACATCTGTCCCCACATCAAAGGATCAGTCCACCTCACACAGCCTGGCCTTTGAGAAATGATGTGCCTAGGCTTCCACCTCCTCAGCACAGCAGCAGTAACAGGGCTGGACACTTGTCAGGCCAAAGCCGCACTGCACCAATCTGCCTTTCGTCTTCAGCCCTCCATCATGGGCAGAAGCAGAAATAAGACCCCCAGCCCTTCAGAGGAAAGCCAGGACTTTGCCAATGTCCTCTTTTCCCTTGGCTGCAGCTCCAGAAGCAGAGCTAACGTGTGCCCATCTGCTTTTTGATGCTCTTCCCTGCCCCTAAAGCTGCTCTTTGCAGCACCTCTTGATGCCTTTAATTGGTTTGGTTTCCTTTTTCAGCACAGTGGATGAAGTCTGGAGTCTTCATTGTGAAATTGAGGTAAGGTATTGCAATTCGGAGTTGGATAGTTAGTGTTTTATTTCTCTTTGGGAAGAGGCAGATTCAGTACCCGCCAAGGTTAGGAGATGATCAAGTCACTGGTGATGTGAGGTAGGAACATACGTCACTCCTCAACAGATCTCACATTGAAGATTAGGACGACATGTAGACACATTCATGATCCCGAATCAGACCTGAATTTTTTACTCCTACGCTTGAAAACGTAGGCCATCAGCTGCAGCAGACTTGCCTTTATTTCCATTCTGGTTTTCTCAAGACCCATGCCCATGTCCCAGGTTTCCATGTGCCCCCACACTCAATCTTTCCCCATCTCCAGTTTTAGCAGGGGGGAGGGTGCTTTGTATGCTGGAAGGGCTGTTGGCCAAGCAGCAAAGAGTTGCTGGATTTTAGCAGGATCAGGCCTGATGTAGCCTGATGGCTGCTCCTGGGGAAGGGCCAAGAGCCAGGCTGGGCACCCAAGGAGAGCCTCAGCCAGCAGCCACGGGACAGTGCATCCACCCACCCACCAACCACCACTGCGTTTCCTCCTCAGGAGTTCTGCCACCAGTTCATCGCCCAGTGGAAAAAGCTGAATCTGGACGTCATGCTTTGTCCCATGCTGGGCCCGGCTCTTGGCATCGGCTACCCTGGGAAGCTCTCAGGTAGGACTGCCGATGGGGGACCTTTGCCTCCAGCGTGCCCCTGCTGCAGCATTCCACCAGTATCAAGGAGAAGTGTTCCTCCTCCTCCTCCCCTCACATTCCCAAGGCACTGGCCAGCGGTGAGAAGAGCTCGGCTCTTGGGGCAGATGCAGCCCCAGCTTGTGGGGTGCACCCAGGACAACCCCCTTGGTGCATGTGGGAGCCAAGGGCAGGTTTCCATCCTGCAGCCCTTGAGTTCCCAGTGCAAGCACCCCATTAGCTGGAAGCTCACGTACACGGAGGGGGGTGAAGGCTTTCCCTGTGGTGGGCTGGCGCTGCGAGCTTCCCCTCTCCCTCAGTGGCAGTCAGCTACACCATGCTCTACAACGCCTTGGACTTCCCCACTGGTGTGGTCCCTGTCACAATGGTGACAGACGAGGATGAGGAGAAGCTGAAGGGCTACCAGGGGTACTTTCGGGACTGGTGGGACCGGACCCTGGCAAAGGTGAGTGGCGCCAAGTTCCCCAGGGGCGTGAGCATCCCCATCCCTTCCCCTGGACATCCCCCTGCCCTCTCCCTCTCTGTGCCACAGGCTTTTCGTGGCAGCGTGGGACTGCCGGTGGCTGTGCAGTGTGTGGCCTTGCCGTGGCAGGAGGAGCTGTGCCTCCGGTTCATGAAGGAGGTGGAGACACTCATCCTGAAGAAAACCAGGCTCGTCTGAGTCCTGCACACTTGCCCGGAGCAGGATCCCAGCTAACATCAGCACAGGTCATCCTTTGGTCTGACTCGCCCGCAGAACTCATGTTCCCCTCCGCAAGGATGCAGTGATGGCTGGGCTGGCTGCTGGCTTTGGGGTGCAAGGGGAAAGCAAGGCGAGCTCTGCAGTGGTGGAGCACTTCCAATCGTTGTCCTAATACAGTATTTTTTGTTATCAGAAGTCTGTTTCAGGTCTGTGTTTGTGTAGGGCATTGGGGTGGATTTTAATAATCCTCTCAACACTCCCCAGGGAAGTGCAAGAACATGATCTTTCTCTTACAAATGGAGAAACTGGGCCACAGGGCCTGGTTTTGTCCAAGACATTCAGATTCCTTCTTGGAGTGCTGTAGGAAAAGGGGTTTTCCTCTCCCTTCTCAGCTCCCTGAGGACGAAATCTGGTGTTTTCCCCGCCGCAAACCATCAATCCGAGGTCAAACCATCAATCCAAGGTCGAATCTGAGCCTGCCTGCAGACTCTGGCAAGCAGGGAGGGAGCTGGACCGCTTCCCACAGCACAAGGCTGCTGGCACCCTGCATGCCATGGAGGGGAAGTCTGGAGCGATCATTTACTCCCATCTTCAGGCACTTACTCCTGCTTTCCCCAGAGCAGAGGTATGAAGTGCTTCAGCTCACAGTATTGCATGTATAAGGCAGCATGCTGGGGTCAGATGGCCAGCTGGACAGCCTGCCCTGCACGCCCTCTCCTCCCGTTTGGCAGAGGGGGCCATGCCAGGTTTTCCAGTGAGGTTTTCCAGCTGCTTGCAGCTGCTGACACCCAGATTGGCAACACCCTGCTCCCGGCAGGTTTCCAAGGGTGCTCCAGAAAGGGATACCACATTGCAAAAGCGTTTTCCCAATGCAGCAATGTCACAAGCAGATTGTAACAAAGCTCTGGCAGATTTATGTCTGGGTTTTTTTTTAATGTATTAGTGTTGTTTGAACCAGAGTTATGCAAAAGCATGGGTCTTTTCAAGGGCTGGGCAGATAGTTTTATCCCAGCCTAGGAGAAAGCAGCCCCCATGACCCTGATTCTTTATCAGCAGGCTTTGAAAATAAGAGGGAGGGAGCTCCAGGCATCCCAGGGCTGAATGATATGTAAAGCCAAGCCCCAGAAGAGCTTGAATAGCATTTTTCACCAGTTGCAGGTGCTCCCTGCCCACACAGAAAATGCTGGGTGGGGTTTATCTGTTTGCATTTTAAAATTCAAGCCTGGAGGAGCTTGTCCCAGGAGAGACAATGACACCTGTGCCCATGGTCTCGGAGAGCCAAGCACTGCGTCACTCAGTTTAACTGCTCTCTCCCTGGCACAGAGGTGGGCAGGGTGCAGGAGTCCAAACGACAGAGATACCAGTGGACCTGAACCACTAAACAGTTCTCACTGGAAGACTTCCAGCGAGCCATGACTACTGCCACGAGACAAGTGCACCGGGCACGGCCAAAGCTGCTGTGTGGCTTTGTGGACTTGAGGTTGCCAAAAAGGGCCAGCTGCAGGCTGCTCCCAGCCCAGCCTGGACAGAGGGAGGTCAGTGTGAATGGCAGCACTGAAGCTTAAGGCTGGGACGGGGCAATGAAGACCACATCCCCACAGTCAGTGGGGAGAGGTTGGTGACATCCACATTGAGTTGCTTGGCTCTTTTTGCTCTTTGTCCTGGCTGAACAGGGAGGGTCCTCCTCGCCTTTCCAGTCAGCAACCAATTTCTCTATGAGGTCTTGCTTCTTCCCCAAGCTCCCTCCCTGCTGCCACAGGAATAATCCCACATGATGTGTCTGCAACAGGTAAGGCAACATGATAGCAGCATGATCACTGGCTTTTGGTCCCCAAACAAGACGTCTCCACCAGAGAGCAATGATTACCCTGGATGCAGCCTCCTTACAAGCTCTGCTACCCTACTTGGAGCAGAGGCAGCATCTCTCCAGATATGGCAACGCTGCCTTGCATCTTGGCAATGAATTTTCAGAGACATCTATTCCTTCCTTGTAGGCTTGCAGATGCTTGAGGTTGGAGAGAAGTTTGATATTTTCAGTCCCTCCTTTCTGTATTCTTGGGGACAGTCCCTTGGGTGGGGAGCACCTGCGGCAAGGGGCAGCTCCGGGGGCTGGCAAGGCTGCATATTCCAGCTCCTTTGCCTTGTGCTGGCTGGAAGATGACTTAGAGACTGGAGAGCAGATATAATACTGGGTCCATCAGAGGGGATTTCCCAAAAGAGCTCACCCCCTGATCTGGGTTGCCAAAATGCTTGGGGGGCTTGGCTTGAAAATGACACAGAGCTCATACTCCTTGAAGGCATCTTCAGATAGCTCTTTCCCCACTGCCTTTCCAGAGTCACTGTGTCCTGTTGCACCTTCATACTCTTGGTTCTCCTGAGCTCCCTCTTCTCCAATAAGTGCAATTTCACCCCCTGCACCAGGTTCCCCAGGACAAGCACAGCTATGCTGTCCCAGGCTCAAAGGGCTGCGCACGCTGCTGCCTGAGGGACAGAGATGATGGCTGAGCACCTCTAGTTAATGGGTTTAAGTGCTAATTAATTATTAGGTGTGGGTATAGTAGGGATAGCCCAGATCTGGGTTTCGCAGATGTTCAGCTCTGTCAATCAGCTCTGTCTCCTGTGTGTAGCCAGGTACAGCAGCAGCCCGTGGCTTGGGGAGACACAGCCTTGGGGGCCACTCCCCTAAACCCAGTGTGAGCTGCTTTGCAGCACAACCCACAATGCTCGTCCAGCAGGCAGACCCTTTCAAAGTCCATGGTCTAAAAAGTCCATTCCTAGACTTTGTTAATGCAACTCTGCTGCAGAGCTGATCTTGCACAGCAGGCAATTGCATAGTCTGCATTCATCAGCCCTCCTTAGGAGAAGGTGGGAGCCCCAGGTGTCCGCAGCTGGACCAGAACAGGAAGGACTGGGAGAGAAATCATGACCCAAGAGCGACTGTGGCAGATACAAGATCCATTGTGGGGAGACCCTCACACCCTCTCGGCTCTGCTTTGCAATTCAGCTGCAGCTGTTGTGCTACTGAAATGGCTGGGACGTAGGCAGATCCAGCAGAGGATGGACGAGGTGAGGAGGACACGGGATGTGGCCCTGGAGCAAATGGAGAAGGCAGCTCACAGGTTTAAGCAAGAGGTAATTCGGGAGAGAGAGTGTGTGTGGGAGGAAGGGATTGTATTTTGGGTAACCAAAGAAATGGGGGAGTGCTGATCAATCCCTCTTTGAATGGTGGTTAGGGCATGTGCACATTTTGGATCATCTCCAATTTTTTTGAGGGTCACCAGCTTCCATTGTCACAAAAAAACCTCCCGTAAAGACAGCATAAAGGAACTATTTCTTAATACAGACCTGTTGAGGGAATCCTAAGGATAAAAGATGGATCAGAGTTTGGGACCCTCTGAATCAGATCACCACTCCACACCTCCTTATGCCCTTTTTTCCTCATCAATCCTTACTGCCAAGCCTTTCCTCTCCCATCCTCCTTACCTCTGCCCCTCCATAGGGACCTGTCTGCCCCATCATCCTCAAAGTATTGGGGGGGGGGCTGCACATCCCTCCAACATCTGCACATTGTGAACCAAAAGCCATTTCTTCCTCCCCATGCCCAGGTAAAGAAGCACCTGGATTTTAGGAGGTCAGGTCCTTGGATTTGGGATTTGTCTTAAAACCATAATAAATACCTACTGCTATTCTTCTCTTGGGGAGGAGGTTACAAAGAGCCCCCACACTTCTTTTTTCCCATGTTAATAATAAATTTTGTAAAACTTTAGCTGGTCGAACTGCTATTCAACACATTGTCTATGAGTCAGAAGGGGGGGTGAAGGCCTGCAGGAGAGTAAACAAAGACAGGTCAAACCTCTCCTGCAGGTTCATGCAACTCTCCAGCCTGTTTTGGTTCATGAACTAAGACTCAGCAAATTCCCCGTCAGCAAATTCCCCACTCCAGCACAGGCAGTGCTATGTGGGAGGTCTGCATTTCTACAGGGAACGTCTCCTAAAAGTCTCCATTCAAGGTAATTGCGAGGCAGATGTTAGAATTGGGTATTTGCAGCCTCAACACCAGCCTTTTTTGTCATTTTCTTCCCTCTGCACCCCATTTCCTACCCTTTGCAGAGCCCAGGCACCCAGACTGCACATGTCCTCTTGCTGACAATGGTGGAGCTGGTGGAGAAGCTGAAGGAGGGGTCCCTGTCCCCAGAAAGTGTCCTCTACTCCTACATTGGCAAAGTGAGTGATACCTCCAGCATGGGAGAGATGCTGTGGGGCTCTTGGGCTGTGGGGGCTTTCAAATTAAAAACCAGCTCATTTGCTGAAAGAACCAGCAATGCTGGGGATTACAATTTGTCAATTCTGTGATGTCTGAAGGGTGGCTTATGGGCAAATAAGTAGGGCAGAGATCCAGGGCAGAAAATTATCCCAGCAAGAAACATCTAAAGTTTATAGGTAAGGTCTGACTAATGAATGCTGAAGGATTGAGGTGATTGAATTTTCAGCTTGAAAACTCAATTTAAATACTGTTTCCTTCCTTCTGTCCATTCATCTGCCTTGCTGCTCTTCTCTGTTCTGGAGAGGCTTTGGAGGTGACTCGGGAGGTGAACTGTGTGATAGACTTCATTCATGGCTGTGAGGATCAGTTCCAGAAACTGAAGAAGCAGAAGGAGAAGGGGCTGCTCTATGGCATTCCCATCAGCATCAAGGACCATATTAGCTGCAAGGTACATCCCTAATTCCCCTGCCTCTTGGCCTGGCGCTGGGAACAGGCCAGGATGTCCTATCCTCATCAGGACTCGCTAAGAGTTCCCTCAGACAAGGACGTTCTGGACCCAATATTGTGGGACCAGCAAACCTGCCTTTCTTCTGATGAAAATTTTGTTTTCTGCAGAAATTTCTAACCTACTCCAATCTGGAGTAGTCAGGTCCTGTTCTGTCTGTGAGAAAAGTTAGGTGGGAACTTTGTCACAGGAGGCATCAGGACTTACGTCTGTTAATGTCACAGCTCCAAACAGCATCTTTCCTGGTACCTAAAGAGCTTTGCTTCCCATCCCCAAGGGCCATGTCTCCTCTGGAGGGATGGTGAAGTTTCTGGGCGAAGTGAAGGAAGAAGACAGTGTCATTGTCCAGGTTCTAAAGAGCCAGAGGTAATCCCCTTCGTGAAAACCAACATCCCACAGACGATGATAAAGTAATCGCGTGTTCACCTTTGTGAAAACGCTATGACATGTGACTCTTGCTATCTGAGAGAGGGTGGGCCCACATGCACAAGCTCCCACCCTTGTCCAAGCTAATCATGCATGTTGAGTTAATTGCCTCCTCATTTCAATCTGAAACTATTTCTTTTATATTTGATGCCTCTTTCTTCTTAAATTCAGCTGTCCCAACAAATCTACTTCATGCTGATTCTACCTGCTGGGATTAATTCCACACTTATCCCTGCACGGATGCTCTGTGCCCTGTATTTATGGCTTGCAGAGACAGAAGTACCTCACTCACCTGCTGATCTTCTTCTCCCCAGCTATGACTGCAGCAACCTCACCTTCGGCCAGATGCTGAACCCTCTCAACCACCAGAAGAGCCCTGTGGGTTCCTTGGGAGGGGAGGGAGCTCTGATCGCAAGGGGAGGCTCCATCCTGGGCATTGGGTTGGCTGTAGCTGGCAGCGTCCACCTGCCATCCAGCTTCTGCAGATTGTGTGGGCTCAAACCCACAGGCAACAGGATCAGGTACATCCCAACATCTGTCCTCTTCTTCCACCCACCGTGGCAGGGATGCTGGGGCCAATGGCAAGAGACGTGGACAGCCTGGCCCTCTGCATGAAGGCGCTGCTCTGCAAGGAGATGTTCTGGCTGGACCCCACTGTGCCCGCCATCCCCTTCAATGAGGAGGTAAGGCTCAGAGGCAATCCCGTATCTCCATTTGCCCAGCAACAAAGTGAGATCTTGGGAGATTCCTATCTGGTTTCACGTCTCAAGATAGTGAAGGACCCAGGGAAGCAAGTGTCCTTCTGAACAGAGGACACCCGGAATGAGCAACCACAAGAAGCAGCCACACAGTGGGGTTGGCAGGCCCCTGTTGGCTTGCCCTGATGAGACCCGCCAGATACTGACCCCTTCCCATCCCAGCAAAGTCCAAAGCAAGCTTGTTGGCTCCATCCTGGCCCAATCCCTAAAGCAGTGGTTTTCTACTGCTCAGAGGAATTCACCTCTCACACCCTTAATTAGAGAGCCTGATTTAACAGGCACTGACCTAAGAAATCATTGCCCTTTGCCGTTACCTCTCTGCTTCTACCATCTGATCATGTCTTTCTGGCTCAGGTCCTAGGATCCTAGGATCTTTCAGTTGTCCCTGACACCTAGACAATACAGACCCTCGAGGAACAGGCCCCTGAACTCTGTCCATAGCCAGGCATCCCAGGCATGTGGTCTGTATAGGCGCTATCACACCTGCTATCTCAAAGTTGGGACATGTTCGCAGGGCAGGAGGTGATGTCAGAAAGACCATACCAAGGATCACTGCTGCAGACCTATGTTCTGGACAACACTGCTTTCCATCAGCCCTATTGCTCCCATCATTCCTCCAACCCAGGAGACCTCATTTGCTGCCTCCCTGAGAATGGTCCAATCTTGTACGTCTCATGTGCAAGTGATGGACACTCCTCTCACAGGTTTACACCAGTTCAAAGACATTTCGGATTGGGTATTATGAAGGAGATGGCTACTTCCAGCCCTCGCCCAGCATGAAACGGGCCATCCAGCAGACAAGAAAGCTCCTCCAGGATGCAGGGCATATGGTGAGTTTTCATGCCTGTGGTTGCCTGCAGCTGTTATCCTGCTCCTCACAGAGTTTGGACAAGTCACTTCCCATCTCTGCTTTTGCTGCCCATAGAACAGGGACCATCCCTCCCTGCTGCAAGGGTCACAAAGAGGAAGGAAGGCAAATGCAACAGTTTGTTTCCCAAACAAAAGTAATCTTGCTTATATTCCTGGCCTAGCAGACAGGAGAATCACCTTCAGATATCTCCAAGTCACCCCTTTTCTAAAGCACTGTTTTTTTCCGTCACCTTTGGTGTTCCCATAAATATCAAACTCACAACAGTTTTCACAATCCCTCAGCTGTTAAATGCAGTTTACAGATTTCTTGGTGGTTAAGTGGGAAGGGGGTTGGAGCAGTTGGCCCCCCAGGGACCTCTTCTAGCCTAAATCATTCTGTGGTTCCACCAGTGGGGATTTCTATATGGGAGCTGTTCCAATGATGCAAATGAATTAAAAATACTTGGTGTTTTGAAGCCTCTAAAAATTCTTCTCTAACGTGTGGAGGAGTTGGGCCTGTGCCAGGTTACAATATGTATTAATGCCTTGGAGATGGGAAAGGACAGTGGGCAGATGCTGCTAACCCAGATCCTTTTGAAAATAGGGTCTTGCTGTCCTACAGCAGCAAGGAGGGCCTAAGCTTCCCACCGCTTCCCACTCACCTCACTAGTGAGGCAGGGAGGTTCACAGAGGGCTCTATGACTCATTCATCTTTGTCGCCTCTTGAACGGGGATGGTTTTATTGCAGCTTGTTCCCTTTGCGCCACCCAAGATTGACTACATGGTAGACAAGCTGTTCACCAGAGGAATTTTCTCGGATGGTGCTGCTCACCTGGTGGACTGCTTATGAGTAAAACCCCCATCTCAGTGTGGGCCATGAGATCTGGCATTGTATAGCTAGTGGTTGCATCCAGAGTGTTTATGTTCTTGTGGGTGCAAACTGGACAATGAGAAGCAGAGGAGCAATTTCTGGAAGGATGAATTTAGCATGAGCAGCAGCTAGTTCACAAGAGCAGTTCACATGCATGGGCAACACGGTAGGGTAATAAGATACTATGTGTCAGCAGTGTTGTGGCAACTGGTTCTATGTGTGTGATTAGCCCATGGCATATGGGAAACATCACACATTACAGAACTTCCTAGGGAGGTGCAGTGAGTTAGCCCTGGCTAGTGGCCAAACACCCACCCAGCCGCTTGCTCACTTCAAGGTGAAACATGCCCAGGGCTGGATGTGGCCCCAGCCCTGCAAAGCACTCCAGAGCCTTTATGGCATTGACAACATAGGCAGTAAAGTACTTATTTCTCTATAACTTTTGCAGTGAGCATTTACACCTGAGCATCTAAACCCCATACGAGCATCTCTTGTTCAGTGTTTCGGGTTGAAACAGGCAGATTTTGTCTTCTAGCAACTCCCCTCTAAGACAAACCCTGCTTTGGAAACAGCACTGCTGTTGCTGTAGCTCTGGCACAGATGGTTTTCCTGACTTCTCCTTCACTCTCTGCCCTTCCAGCAAAGGAGACATCGTGGATCCCAACCTGAAATCCCAGTTCAATACTTAGAGGCTTCCTGCTCTGGTGAAAAGGATCTTGGCTATCATTTTGAAACTCATAGTAAATGTGTGGACGTGTCTGTGTTATAGGAAATCTGCAAGGTGGGAAAGTTTCTGTGTACAGGGAGGTAAGCTGCTCCCCTCTGGGAGTGCTTTGCCACTTCATGTTAAGTGCCTGATGGGCTTCATAGTGAAATACACTTAAATACACTTAGTCCCTAAACCCAGGCTGAATTTATCAAGTGGGTCTGACAGCCTTTTATGGGAATTTTGCATGGGGAGGTAGAAATATGATCCGTTCTCAGGAACCCATGAGCCATACAGCTCAACCAGCAATAGGCTCTGAGAGAATAGATATCACTAGCAAGGATCTAAGCATCTCCACATCCAGAAGATGCTCTCCAGGGCTAGCAGTGTGGTCTAGAGCCTTACTGGCATGGGTTGTTGTGATTAAATGTATAAATTAATATGGGAGTAAAGCCACTTCACTGGAAACCATATCTGTTCTTCAGAGCCACTTCTGCTAGGACAAGAAGTGTGCCCAAAATGCGATCACATGGTAGCCAGCTATTTCAGCTGCATTGTTGTTGACTAATCCCAAGTTTTTCTCTTCCCTCTGAAAGTACCCATGAATCGCTCGGGATCTCAGCGCTCTCTGTGGAGTGGGGTAAGACGCACTGAAGTGGCTCTAGAGAAAGGGGATGCGCATGGATGTGTCCACCAGTTCATGCAGGTAGATGCCAGCTTGCTGTGCAAAGCCCTGTCACGGGGCTGTGCAGCACAGCCTAAGCCAGATGAGTATGTGCTGCCTCAGCACCACCTGGACTTAGCACAGCGTTATCCAGGGCTATGCAGCCAGAGATTATTTTAAGAGCTCAAGGATCCTCATTGTGGCAGGGCATCATAGGATATCTCCATGGAGATCAGCACAGAGAGATACAGGCTGCCCCATCAGGTGGATTCTGGTACCCAGAGCATCATGTACCAAGTTAATGCAGAGGTCTCTGCATGCAGGTGCAGGCTGGTGTGAAGTACCTGGTCCTCCAAGAGAGACAGAGACACACCAAACTGGGAGCAAGTGCATTTGGAAGACTGCTATGATCTTTCTCTAGGTGCCAGAGCACCTAGACATGGTGGCGTGCTTTTAACGTAAGCTCTTTTGATGTACCTGTAAGCATGTGTGAACCCAGTGGAATCAGCTGGGTGATACTATAGCTTGTTCCCAGAAGGCTCATGCAGTTTCCATAACAATGGGCTGTCTGTGCATTTTGTTAATTGTTTTCTGTTGCCACGGTCCCAAAGCTGATTAATTCTGCCACCTTTCCAGGTCTGCCAAAAACCTCTGGGATCAGCATGGAGCAGTGACGGTAATGTGATTTTTTTTTTTCTTTATCCTTACTAAATATAGTGAGAGATCCCTAAAGCTTCTAAGCAATTGCTTTGAGCTCTGTGATGGATTCGGGGTTGGAAATGGATCATGTGGAAATAAAGCAGCTAGGCTTTTCTTTGAAAGTCAAACTTTGAAAGAAGTGATAAGAGCTCAAGGCAATAGATGTTCATGTGGAGGTCTCTGCTTACTGGAGGATGGGGAAGAAAAATTATCCTTAGCCCTGCATTTTCTAAGCAGAAATAGCATAAGAACAGCCACTAAAGATGAGGCTTTATTTTTTCTTCTTTCTATCTCTTGGTGCAAATCCTTCATTTCAGACATTAGGTGCTATTGTCATGAGCTAAGACCATGCTTGAACTATCAAGCAGAGACCTTAGGAGTCAAAAATTGTGGCTGTGAACTCTTTGGCTTAGGTGGATTTTGTATGAACTCATTTCGGATCAGGAACATAGGACAGGAAGCGTTCTTCTGGACAACTGGGTCCAGTGCTGCCCACAAACTGATCGGGTTCCTCTTTAAAACCAATTGAGTTTTATGCTTGCATTTGTTTTTATCGTCCGACTCCTCTCCTCCCTGCTTTGATGGTTGGAAAACTTCACATTTCCCGTGCTGTTCATTCACTTCCAGTTTATCCTCATTTTATTCCTGTCCTTGAGCTTAAATAGCACCTCTCCTCTCCGGTATTTTCCACTGCCTCCCTCGTCCTTGATCTATTCATAGAGTGCAATTGTATCCCCTTTCAGCTGGTGTTTTGCAAGGCTGAAGAAGCTGAGCTGTTTTGGTGTCCTCCCACAAGGCAGGATCTGTGTTCCTTGGGACGCCCTCACAACCCCCCCCCCCCCCGAGAAGAAACATGCCCTCAGCCTGCACCACCCAGCCTCCATCAGTGCCAGTCACTCAATGGACATGCACGCTCACTTGCAGCACGTCTGATGGATTACAGGGCAGAGAAAAAACTCCTACAAACCTGCCTGGTCACTGGGCTGATGGGAGTGTTTGGAAGGAAATGGGTTTGGGAATTTTTTTAGGTGAAAACAGATTCCTCTCCCCCCGCAAAAAAAAAAAACCAAAACCAACCCCACCCAACCAAAAAGAAAACTCCTTAAAAGGTTTGTTGGCCTCTGAGATATTTTGAATTGTTTTTCTTCAGTGAAACCATATTCACATTTTTTCATCTACTGCAAACAAGAGCTGATTCAAAACTTTTGGCTAGCGACCAGCTTTCCTCTCAGAAAAACAATCAGGTTAGCTACAGTGACTGTATTTCCTGGAAACCCATCTCATTTGTTCAACTTTCAGCA